TTTGGGCCCCCGTGGTGTTTTGCATGCTCCCCGGTGAAATCCTGCCGTGTTTCTGGTGTTGTGACAAAACTCAGTGTTCACTCTGATCTGTTAGTGCCACCAAAGATCAGTTTACCGTGTGGTGTTTATTTCAGCGCTGCAGGGTTACAGTTATTGGCTGCCAGTGTGCCAACTGTACTGGGAGTGGTTGCTTCCAGTTATGAGTGTCTAATTATTGCTGGTGTCTGTTTCACTGCCCTGAGAGTTACATAACCTCCACGGTACAGACGGGCTCTCCCTCTGCATCAAAGATCACATGGGGTCAAAGCCCAGCTGGGCCCGTATGCCAGCACACGTTTCCCTCTGGCCTGTAGGGCTTTTATTCATCTACATAGCTTGAGTTGTGATGTAGTGACGTGTTCCTGTTTGCTTTATCGAACAAGGAGCTACAAATTTCTCATGGTTTTCCTCCAAGTCTGAGGCCACGGTGGTCAGCATGGAGAGGTGGAGCGCCCACTCTGGCAGTGGTTCCTGCTGAAACTACAGGAGTGTCTCGGGGTTTCCCGGGCGAGTGTTGGGGTGATGCCTGCGCACTCTGCACCCATAGCAACGAGCTGAGAGACATACAAGCTTCCTCTGAAGGGTGTAGCTTGGATTTCTGGGACTTCAGTCAGTGGAGGTGGTTTGGGTGTCTGACCAGGGTTCCTCCCGGGTGCCTCGTTGGTGTGGTGTTTGTCCAACTGGCCTTGGGGCAGGAAATGATGTCCTTTAGCTGGTCTGTGAGCTCTTACTCGTATCTCGCTCTTAGAGCTGCAGGCAGGGCTGGACTGGGACAAAAAATCGGCCCGGGCATTTTGACTAGAGACCGGCCCCCCAGGTATTACAGGAAAAACCATAAAGCCTTTGAATGAAAACAAACGCTGCTGTGACAGTGATGTACAGTCTTGTTGGTATATGTATGATTTCTATACATTTTACGTCAGATAAAAACTTTGGTTGTAAGATTCAGATAATTATTTATTAAAAGCAAAACATTTTAAATGAGAATAAGAAA